TGGGCTCAAACTATTGGGCTCAAGAGATCCTCCCACCTCAGTCTCTCCAGTCATTGGGATTACATGTGCAAGCCACTGTGCCTGTGTTTAAGGCAAAAGTCATTGAGCTACTGTCACTGAATATCAGGCTAATAGTTAAAAATGTAAAACCATGAATATCTAAAAATAAGGTTGTCATGGCATTGTGGGAATTAAAGTGAGAGAACCTTTTGACCCGGCAATCCCATTACTGGGTATATACACAAAGGATTATAAAACATTCAATTATAAAGACACATGCACACATATGTTTACTGAGGCACTGTTTACAATAGCAAAGACTTGAAACCAATCCAATGCTCATCAATGATAGACTGGATAAAGAAAATGTGGCACATATACACCATGGAATACTATGCAGCCATAAAAAAGGATGAGTTCATGTCCTTTGCGGGAACATGGATAAAGCTGGAAACCATCATCCTCAGCAAACTGACACAAGAACAGAAAACTAAACACTGCTGTTCTCACTCATAAGTGGGTATTGAACAATGAGAACACATGGTCACAGGGAGGGAAACATCACACACCAGGGCCTGTAGGGGGGTGGGGGTGTAGGGGAGGGATAGCAGGTAGGGTGGGGGGATTGGGGAGGGCTAACATTAGGAGAAATACCTAATGTTGATGGCAGGAGGATGGATGCAGCAAACCACCGTGGCACCTATGTAACACACCTGCAAATTCTGCACATGTACCCTAGAACTTAAAGTATATAAAAAATGTGAGAGAACTACAAGTATGAAGCTTATACAACAATTTTTTTCTACTTGAGTATTTTCTTTTGATAACTCTGCTGAATCCTCAGAAGAACAAGATAGGATTTTGACACAAAAAAAATTATCTTAGAGTTACCATTTAAAAATATTAAAATTATTACAAATTTGTTTAAAATCAGGTTAAACTCTTCCCCTCATTAAAATAATAAAATGAAAAAGGTTATTATGAAATCTTAAATTTTCAAGATTGAAGAGACGTTGGAAAGGCTCTATTGCAAATGCCTGTTCAACATATTTCTATTTTACTCAACCTTTATGTTTCTATTTATAGTAAGGCTGCACACCAATTCACAAGACCTCATTGTTCCATAACTTGTTCAAAACTACTTTCTCTTGTTGATTTTAATTTCACTTTTATATAAACCTACTTTTTGATTCTAGGATATTTTTCTCCACTTTGGGGAAGGCAATGAACAACTATGTTTGCTTCCTACAAGATTCTCTAAGGGACATATGAAGACAAGTATCCTGTCTGCTGCTTTTTTCCTCCTTTTCTCCAGGCTATGAAAAGGCAGTCATTTTGAAAATTATTTATGGCTATGAACTCATTTATCTGTTCACGTATGTATTTCTTTCCTAATATCATTAGCATTCAGAGCAATAGTAAGGCCAGGGGGACCAATATAAGAAGTTGGCTACTATGAGTGCCAAAATTTCAGCCAACTAACAAGGTGTCACCAGGGCGAGTTTCTATCTCTATATACAGAGCCTGAGGAGCTGTTCTAGTTACACAGCAGATGAGAATTCTTAGTGTGTGGGTAGGAGAGTGAATGTAACAAAGCTATGGACTAATTATTTCTTATCTAGATGCTATCTCAAGAATGCTTTTGGAATTGAAGCTATATAGAGAATGTAAAATTTTATGTAGGATTCTTCTTACAATTTTGTCTACTAGCAGGAACAATGAACACTGTTTCATACCCAACCTCCTGTACACTAACCTTCAACCTTCTTTGGTGGAGACCTTCCCCAATATCACTAACCAAATAAAAACAAAAACAGGGACAGAAACTTGCAAATGCAAATAGGTGAGATTTTTTGAGAAGCTTCCATTGGTCAGTAAATATAATAATTTGTGAATCACTAAAATAAAATTGAATTTTGTAGTTTTATAGTTGTTTGGTCATGAATTTTACCAGCTCTTAGTTTTACTATGTGATCATTTTCACTGTCCTTATATCCTTCTCACAAAAAATACATCTCTTCAAATCAGAGTGACACAAATTATTTCATTTAGCATTCACAAAAGTTATATAAGGTACCTAGCTGAAACATTGTTAGCCACATCTGACCTAAAATAAAACTCAGGATTGGAGGAGGCCATATTATTCCTAGAAGGAGACCTATTTAGCAAGTTGTGGCACAATTGAGATATGAATCTCACATAACAAGCATCTCAGGTTGTTCCTGTGCCGGGTTCCCCCTTTCTCAGTCCTAGCAGCCTAGAGCACTGGTAAGGTAGGTCCATCACAGATCTGTACACAGGAGAGATGGCGATACTTCCTGGAAAAGCATTCATCACATCATGAAGGGAAAGAACACAGATGGGTACACTTGATAGAAAGAAGACCAGAATCATAGGTAAGATGAGATACTGAGAACAGCAGGATGTCTCTCATTTAAATTGTCCATTTGGGGCAATGCCTTATGAGGCCGTGTGATTTTGCAGACAGGAATTAGGAGGGAGTTACTATTGGAAAATAATTATGCCGCTAATGTGACAGTTTCTACTCTTCCCAAAGGTGATAATGAATCCTCCAAAGATGGATTGGCTACAGGATGTAGTCTTTCTGGTGTTAAGACTTTGACTTTAACACTGTAAACTCTGTTTTTTCCCAGAGTCTGCCCCATCATGTGGATGTTGAGTCTAACCCTTGTTGAGCTAAAATTTGTAATGTTTTGGGCAGAAAAATAATAAGCAGTTTGGGTCTGCAATCAATACAATCCATAACACTCAGTTCTATTACTGGTTGTGTAGGTATAGGACAAGTTATTAAATCATTCTGAACTTTGTTTACTTATCTTTAAACAGGGAAAATAATAGCGACTCCATTGTGATGCTTATGCAAGATAAATCGGATAACATTTGTGAAGTACTCAGTAGAACTTGCAGCCTAAAACAACGCGCTTCTATCTTTCACTTTCCCCCAGCCCTTTGAAAACTGATTAATGTTGAAAATATGTATATGTAATGAGGTCATAACACTAAAATAAAATTACTTTGTTAAAATCCTAGAACTCATATATGAAAACAATTAATAGAAATTTCTCATATACTCAGATATTTTTTCTGTAATGTAATATATATTATATATATACACACTTATAAAATGAGAGCCACTATTCAAACCTGCTAGAAAATATTTCTTTATAATTCATCTTACACGTGTCACTTTCTGTAGAAGTATGGTCTTTTTGGCCTATTCTTTCCCAGTCATTTAGAACTGACATAAGATGAATTATATCCCGTGATTTTTCTACTGTACTCTAGGTAAAAAATTCTGAATCAAATCTATGGCTTCTGTTTTATATGAGAGTAATTATCCTATATGTTTCCTCTTTCCCTTTTCTTTTAAAAGTTTTAAGCAGAATATGAAGTATACGTATTCTGAGGGATGTAATAATTATTCCAGATATAGTTAGAAAGTCTTTTTTATATGAAAATATTGCCTGTTTTCTCTTTCTAGCTTTAGAGTAGCGTACACAATAATTCCATAGTGGTTGATAGTTAAATTTAGATCCAGTATTTATTTTTTTATTCAAATTTCTCTCCTTTGAAAGGGGCAGAGCAAGGTTCATGAATTTCTCCTGGCTAAAAAATGTCCTCACAGAATGGCGATATAAAAGCAAAGACAATCACCAGAAGCAGAATGTTTAACTGGGATGAATGGCTAAGCAGAGTAGTTAGCAACTAGGCTTTTTGAGAACTTAAAAGAAAATTGTGCATTCGGAGAGACAGTGGGAGCAAAGAGTTCCCCATTTGCTCCTTTCTTTCGTGGAAGAAGAAACAGATGAAGTGATAAGAATATATTTTCAAAATTGTAAAAATAGAAAATCTACAGGCAGCAGATAATGTAATATCATCATACGCCATACAGTTGAATACCTACAATACTATAAGAGTTGAGAGAAAAAAGAGATAATTCCAATAGGTACCATACTCAATGTGTTAAAAAAATCATATTATTATACTATGCTGATCATTTAGGACTCAGACTTGTGTTAAAATAAAACAAATTACTTGTCCATGTCATTCTGACCACTTGGGTCCAGGAAATGTGATTTATATCACCTGGAGCAGCTTCTCTTTGAAATTTTGTTGAGGATTCTAAACGTCCTTGTCAGGACCTGTCATGTTCTTGGTTCTAAGTGGTGGTTTATGATGTTACATCAAGCTGTCAGTTTCCCTTGATGCTTTCTTCCTTTGCGGTATTTTCTTACTCCTACAATATTTTATGTAATTACCATAAAGATAAATTGTCACCTACACTCGGCTTTGCAATGTAAATTCTATCCCTAACAACTTTCTCTCATATTTATTCTAAATGCACAATATTTCCAAGCTGTTTCCAAGTAGATGGTCCAGAATTAAGTGAAATGAAACAAAAATCCTGATATTTCTCTTTTACACACACAAAATATCTATACAGCTGAACTTTGCTTTTTACGGAAATGGATTTGCTGGGGTGATTTAGATGAACTTTCAGTACTAATGTCATCATCCTTAGGCTTTAGGTTCCAGACCAGGCATTGGCTCTACTCTTAGTTCTTGTTACATTCCCAGCAGAGGGCTGCTTAGCCAAGGTGAGTAATTATTCTGTGTTGTTACAAATGCACTCTTATAATAGCATATGGCATGGGATTATCAGTATATACTTATGGCAGAAAGAGTTGGAGATAATAGAGGAATTTAAGAGGAAATTTGAGAGAATTAGGTCTCAAAAGAACAGAAAGCAGATCCTGGGTAGGGCTGGGAGCTGGCAGCTGTGAGCTGGTACTTTGCTCCTGTGATGCACTACATGACTCTTCTCTTTGTGGCCAGTGGGCTCTGCACCTCTCTGCATGTGCTTTGTGATCTGCCATGTTTAGGAACAGAATCCGATCAATATACATTCTTGATATCAGAAATCTAAGAGATGAGGCTGTAAGGTATTTACATCATCATTCCTACTAATCTAATTTGGAGCAAATCTTCAACCCTCTGGACTTTCCCTGGTATCCCTCACCTTGATCTCTGTTTCCACAACACTTTTTTCATGGCGCCCTTGACGTCTGTGTTCCTCAGACTGTAGATCAGGGGGTTCAGCATCGGGTTGAAAAGGCTGTAAAACAGGGAAAGGACCTTCTGGTGCACCTCAGGATGGCGGGACTTTGGGGCCATGTACATGACTATAGCGCTGCCAAAGAAGAGCCCCACCACGCAGAGGTGGGAGGAGCAGGTGGAAAAGGCCTTTCTGCGGCCCTCCCCAGACTGGATCCTCAGGATGGCCGCCAGGATGTGTGAGTAGGAGACCAGCACCAGGCAAAGTGGCCCCACCAGGATGAACACGGAAGCAGAAAAGATGACCACCTGGTTGAGCCAGGTGTCAGCACAGGCCAGCCTGAGGACAGACAGGATTTCACAGAAGAAGTGGTTGATTTCATGAGGCCCACAGAAAGGTAGCCTCAGAATGAGAGCCACATGGACCAGGGCCAGAAGGGAGCCACATGCCCAAGAAGTGACAGCCAGGACTGTGCACACTCTCCATCTCATGATGACAGAATATTGCAGAGGGTGGCAAATAGCCACGTACCGATCATAGGACATCATTACCAAGATGAGACACTCGGTGTGAGCAAAAGCCATGTATAAAAAGTTCTGCATGATGCATGGGAAAAAGGAGATTGTTTTTCTCTTGTTCAGAAGATTTGCCAGCATCTTGGGGACATTGTTGGAAGCATACGAAATATCAACGATGGCCAGGTGTGCAAGGAAGAAGTACATGGGGGTGTGCAGTCTGGAGTCCAGCCAGATGAGCCCCAGGATGGCCCCGTTCCCCAGCAGGGTGAAGATGTAGAACAGGGAGAAGAGCCCAAAGAGGAGCATCTGAATCTTTGGGCCAAGGGGAAATCCCAGGAGAATGAATTCTGTGACCCATGTCTGATTTTCTGTCATGCCCTTGTGACAGTACCTGCATTGGACTCTGCTGTGGCAGTGAGCTGTGTGCTGCGGAGCAAATGCAGATTCCGATTAGTCACTTAACCAAAGGAAGGGGACTATGGTGTACACAGGGTGCTGACTCATCAGCAAGGTTGTTCAGAGTCATTATGTCAAATCCTTTAATCCATGGTAAAGCAGAAAAAGATTCAGTTCGGGGAACTAGTGTAAATGCAGACAGGGTGTCATATACTGTATCTATTCCCACAGAATTCCACTTAACTTGGATTGCAAGACCCACATTTTTACTATCAGAAGGGCAGCCACCAAGTAAGTTGTTTTTCAGAATGACTGGCTGTTTTATTTTAGAGTAAGGATCGTAGCCATGTTCTTCCGTGTTTTGCTTTCTAATTTACTTAGTTTGCATATTTCCCCCCACTTTCTCTTCAATATTTGGTTTTCTCTTATGTTGCAACTTGTGCAGAGTGCATTGCGCATGCAGGTGCTTAGTAAATGATTAGAGAACATCCATAAAAGCATGAATTAGGAAATGAGGTTTACAAATGCAATTTCAAAGAGGGTTGTTTCCCTGTGTTTACTAGATTTAGGGAAAATAAAGCTGGCATTAAGTGTTTTACTTCCTGAAGCTACTCAGGAAAATCTGGCTGTTTCCCTTTGGATGCAAGCCAAGAAAGAGTGCCATTACGAATCTGGCAAGCATTTATCAAAGTCATTTCTGATATGGCCAGAGCAAGTGGTTGTCTATATGAAGGGTTAACAGGATAATATTCCAACTCCTGCCTCCACCCCATCCCCCTGCAGGGCTGTTTCCTTGGTTCTGAGTAGGTGCTGTTGCTGGCGCAGTGCCCACTACACTTGTTGGATGAATTGATGGACGGATGGACAGATGGATGAATGGATGGATGGATGGATGGATGAATGGATGGGGGAATGAAAGGCATTACATTAGGAATAACATTCAAATAACATATCCATATCGATCAAGTCTTCAGACTCTTCTTTAATTTTCTCTGGCTGTCATTCCTCCAACCATGTAGTCACAGGGACTGTAGAAGGGGAAAACCTGGATGTTTCATAGACATATACAAAAGTTAAATGATCAATGTGTCATTTTCAATGTGCAGCTTATGACTCCACCTCTGCAAATGCTAACCCTACCTCAAGCCCAGGAAACTGTCTGCCAATAAATTCTCTCTGTATCTCCTGTTCTATGTACCGATTTCTGGAGCCCTTCCTTCCTCCAGACCCTAGCTTCTCTAAACAACCAGACTTTGCAAAAGACTCTTTACTTACTGTGGTACCAGGCCTGGTCTTGTCTCAGAAATATAATTATACTTAGAGAAATTGTGCAGAGATCACAGGAGCTTTTGAAGACCAGAGCTGAGGATCTTGCTCCCACCAGCAGCCTCTGAGAGAAGGAATTTCCAGTTGCAGGGGTTGTCTCTCTTTTCTTAATGCAGGCTGATGCAAAGACTGCTCTCTGGGAACACCAACAGTATAGGTTTTATGGTGGAGTTATCTCCACTCAAGCCTTTACAGATTGTCACTGAGGACAAGGTAGAGTCCCTAAGGAAACCAAGATACACAGCAGTCAGACTCTGTGTCTACCAGAAGAAACAAAGGTTGTTTATCCTCCTGACTCCAATTCTCTGGGCTCTGGGGATGGGCATTCAGAAAAAAAAGAAGCTGGCAGGTGATGACTTAATAACCAGCTGGATCTCTACACATAAAACTCTTGTAGTAATAAGAACATGCATTCTCCAGGGTCCATGTTGTATATTATACCCCCTAAGTATTTGGTCTGTGGTAAGTTCATGGATCTCAGTCTTGCCCTGTGTGGATTAAATGGAGCTTGGAGGAGGCGGAGCATCATGCCTCTGTCATAAAGGCTTGAAAATCTCCTTCTTCTTAGTTAATTCTAACTTGGGTATTGATAGATAAGAAAAAAAAATACTTCTATCAACCCTCCTACACTGTGGTGAGAAAGATTATGAGGCCTTTCCACATAGTGCCTGAGATTTGACATAGGGTTAGGAAATAAGAGAAGCCAGAAGCTAGGGTAAGGCTGGCCTTGAAGAGGCGTCGTGGTAGAAGCCCTGGTGTTTTGAGGGCAGCAAATGTGTAACTCACACCTTCACCTTTACTATGATATACTCATGAAGTTCAATGAAACTTTTGATATAATGATGCCTCAGGTACAGGGGCTATGTTTATATTCACATAATAAAGCATAGAGGGAGGATGTCTTGAAAATATTTCTGACTATCCCCTTTATGTGTGTATCCCTTACATGTATATGTATAATGTATATATCCATATGTGTGTGTGTTTGCTGGTTGGGCAACATTTTAGAGAGAAACATCCACATCTCGTTTGTCAGAACACATTCGGTTCTTTACTCCAGAGGGATGTAGGTTGTCAATGTGTGGGCTAACAGGGGAGACTAGGAAACATGCCTGTGATTTTGGCTCAAAGACTATAAAGGTTTCAAAGCAGGTGTATGTCTATGGACAGAATGAAGAAGCTCAAGGAGTATTTATCTTGAAATCTCTGGAAGAATGACAAGAGAAGTTTAGTAGCTATGTACAGTGGTTAGGAAAAACAGCTGAAGCACTTAACAAAAATAAAATAAGTTTACTGATTACCTAAAACTGAAGGACTACATAAAATCTTGCCAAGATGCTTTCAATTATTCATATATTATCCACATATGGATATTTTATATCCACAATTATCCATGTGTAGATATACTGAATAATTAATCATCTCATTCATTTATTAATTCACTCATTCAATTTACATTTACTGAGCATCTGCTCTGTGTGGTGTCATCTTAGACACTGGAAAAGCCAACACTAGTGAGATACTGTCTCCATCTTCCAAGAGTTTATAGTCTGCCTACAAGTGAGCCATGCAAATAAACAGTATAGGACCTGGGATACACGTGTTCACAGTATACAGCAGGCACCATGATAGGGTGGGGTAGATTCTTCCAAAAGTGGATAGGGAAAGGCTTTCCCGTGGATGGAAAGTTTAGACACTCTTCAGGCAGACATGCCAGGCTGGACCTTACCTATTCAATTATGTCTGAAGAGACATCTGAGTCTGGAGATTTCAAAGATTTTAAGTTATTTTCCCGTTGGTACCAAAGGAATTAGGTCCAATTTGGGAAGGCTTTGACTTTGCATGGAGGAGTTAAGAGATTTCAGTGAAAATTGTAAAACTGTGTAAAAATAATAAAGAAGTAACCAGAAGAAAAAGAAAAGACATACCAGGCTGCACCTTAGGGTATAAGGAGGGCACAGCAATAGTAATAATTAATCATAATAGAAAAGTGGCTCACAGATGAGCTTCTGTTGGACTTCATTGGAAATAAAAAGTAAAACTATTTGACTAAGGTATGTTATTACAAAGATTAATGTTTGGTTAACGTGAAGGATTGTTTAAAAGAACGAGATTGGAGACTGTGAGTCCCAGCTATCTGTAGGGTCTACATTTTCAAGTGACAGTGAGTACCTGAATTGAGATGGTAACCATGGGGACAGGCTGGAGGAAATGGGTATGGAACATGTGAAGGAAATGTAATCATCAGTATTCAGTGACTTGGTGTGTGGTCAGAAACCAAGCAGAGCTGGGATACTCCCCAGGTTTCTGGTTTGTGTGCCTGTTTCTGATTTGTATATAAAGTGTTTTCATTCAATTACATGAAGAATAGCTGAGCAACATATTATTTAAAAGCAAGGGCTAAAAGAAGAACATAATTTTGAGCATGATGGCTATTTAGGTGGCTTGGTCCAATAAAGAATTAATTAAGTTGTTTTGTAGTTCATTAGAGATTTAAAGTACAGGTTTAACAGATAAAGTCATGATAATGGATAAGAGTGTTCAAGCAGAGTAGAGCAGTTTTAGAGAGAAAAAAAAAGAGAGGGTCAAGAACAGGATCTTAAGAATAACCCATATTTGAGAGGTGGACAGAGAAAGATAAATCTCCAAAACAGAACAAGAGAAAGATCAGATAGATAGGTGGGAAACTAAAAAAATAAAAATGAAGAAAGCCAATAAGCTGTGCTCTATGTTACCCCAGCAGGCAAACTAAGGTACTCACTTTAATCATATGAGTAATGATAACTATTTTTTAGAAACAAGAATTTTTTTCTGTAAAAAGCTACACTTGTTAATACTTATAGTAAAAATAAAATAAAACAAAACCAAAGTTACTAACAGAAAGCCATTGCCATCCTTCAAGAAAAATATAGCAGTTTTTTGGCATAATTTCCCAATTTCATTGACCCTTACGAGGGGTACAAGGCTGAGTATTAAATGATATGTACAGAAAATTTTAATTTCCAAAGAGCCTGTTATTAAGCTGTTCATCAGAAATACAATACAAATGTGCAACAACTTTATTGTGAAAATTAAAAGTAATTATTACTTTATAAATAAAATGAGGGCTCAACTAAGAGAATGTCATTCCAAGGACAGAGATGGCAGATGACCAAAGATTTTCAAAGTGAGGCTCATTGATAATTATAGAGGCAGAAATCCACTGTGTTCAAAAGAGCTTTTAATAGTACCTTGGATGCACATCTTATACTCTGGCAACTCATAAACATTATTCTTAATTCCTCAACACACCCAGAAAGGCTGATGATTGGGAGACTATGGGATTTCACTCCTTTTTGTTTCTCCTCCAATTATGGGACAAATGTCAACATAATCTCTCATATTTCCTGGGACCACAGTATGTATTTAAAGACCAAGTACATCTTCAAATGCAGAAAAAAACAGTGTTAGATATTGACTGCATTAATAAATATGTATTAATGTATCTAATTTACAAAGACAAATTGTATGTCTGTTAATTTCTTGTTTTTTAGAAAACCATTCAGTCCTCAACCTTTGCCTCTAAACTGCTAAGCATTTGGTTGACACCACAGATATTGAAGAAATGTTTCTGAAAGCACGATTCATGCAATACCAACATAAAAAGAGTACTATACCCTTTATGAGGCATCAAAATGTATC